ATCTTCGATGCTTGGTGCATATTTCTCATGTAGTAGAATGCAAACTCCCGATTGTGTTCTTTCATGCTTGGCCTTGCCGCTGTAGATTATTATGTGTTTTCTATGCTTACATGTTCCTTGGCCTTTCCATTTCTTTTTCGAGATTCCGCAGATGTCCATACTGTGCTTTTCCGTCTCGCTAATAATGATATCTTGAACTTTTCCCTTCCACGATGTTACGTTCCAGCAGGCGACTCCGGTGATGTTGCGTTTAGGTTTCCAATTTAATTTTTCTTTTGTCATAGCATGGGTCGTCTTCGTGCTGATCCGTCCTGTTTCCGAAGCAGTGTCTTCGGTTCGATTAGCTGTATTTATTGCTTATATATATTGTTCACTTCGGGTAGGTAGATGGCCTGACTCAAAAACCCTACTCCTTTGCCCAGACTTGGGACCGGCGGTGACAACCTTTGAACTACTCAGTTCACCCATCAATCATCGCATCAGGGTTTATCAAGTCACGTAAATATGTAGTTAAAATGATGCCCCTTCCTCATGAAACACCTTGTATATATTTACTGTTATCTATGTCTTAAGGTTTTATAACAACGTATTATTTGATAGCAGCCCATTATTTCTAGACATTTTTTGTTTCCTTAGAATATTGAGTTTCAAACTGTGAGCAGTAGTTTGTTGCATGCGTGCAGCTATTGTTAAATACAATGGATTTTTAGTAATAATCAATGGGCAATAGCGTTCCAGGGTAGGCTTAATTGTCGCTAGAACTGAATAAAGTTTCGAAAGTCCTGAAAGTTTTTTATATCTCCGAAATTATATATCGTACAGATTTCCTTAACCACACGTTTACAATAAAACATTTTTGGGTAAATCAAAGGTGTTGTGAACTCCCTAAGATTGCAAGATTTGCGACTATTTTACTAAGAGCTTTTCTTCTTTCTCTTCTTTTATTCGAAATTTAGCTCCACAATTTTTATTTATGTGTATGGGGTTCTTTTCTTTACGATGTAACTATTTAGAATCCGGCTTAATTTCTTTCAAATAATATTAGTTGCCAATAGCTATTGCGCAAGAACTTTACATAGAAAATCTACATAGCATAGAGAAAAGGTCCATGCAAGATCTAAAATCTACATAGATCTCTAAAAATGATTATGAAGTGCGTCAGTTTTGTGCTTATCTGAGCATCGCGTTGTCCTTTAGTGTTTAATATTGCCAACAAATTCTTGTTATCGGTATGTAGATACTTTTTAGTTCGTTCAGAGTGCGCTATTCTTTTGTCCCTTTTAATTTTCTGAGATATATCTATCCGTTTGCGTTGTCGGTATTGAAATGCTTTTACTTTAGTGTGCTACTTAAATTGTTAATTGATTCAAATAATATCTGAAATTTACTTTACACAGTAGTTCGTTTTAAGAAAGCCATTAAAGAAGCGAATATCTTACAACTGATTTTGTCAGTGCTCTTGTTTATGTAAACTCTGTTCTTAATTGTTCTTATTTTCTATTGTGGGTATTGAATGCCTACTAAAACCAAGATAGTTTTTCATACATTTCTAAATAACTTTTCCTATTTTAAAAATATCAATTGAAAATGTGTATATCTGCATTTTTCACATTATGCCTTTTAAGAAAATCTAAACGGAAAACGTAACTCTTCCAGTTGTATTAAGTTTAGGTAAATAAATCTACTGAACACTTAGCTACTTTTAGGTGTGAGCAAGCAATGATTAGATTGTTCCGAAATGATATTTAATGCTATTGAACTCTATGTGACTACATCTAGTTTTATTAATATTATTGTTCAGTCCAGTTCCAGCGCCCAAACAGACTGAAAATAGACTCTCCTCATTTTTTTCAAATCAATATCGTCACAGCAATTGAGCAATTTTAAACATGTTTATTATTAATTGTACATAGGCAAACATATAAATCAATGTTCTTATTTTTAAGTTAAATATATTAATCGAACAACATTTTGGCAGCCTTTAATCTCACACTGTTATCTATGCATTGTCTATTTCCATCATTTTTCGCATGCACTCTCTACCGAAAGCCGGAAATTTTCATCAAATTTAGTAGTTCTTGAATATGGGCAACTAATCTCTGGTATCTCCGCAAGTTCAATTTGTATCAGGAAATTTAAGGTCGTTAATCATTACGTCCGTCATTAGCCAGTGGATTAGGTTTTAAACATTTACAAGTTAGAAAATTAAAGTTCTAAGTTCCTTCGACTTTTTATAATTATCTGAAGCAATCAACAGCTATATTCTATTTGAGTGTGTCACACCTATAAATGTCAATACAATAAAACATAGGCATATTTTACTTTTGCTGTTACTATGCTTATGATGAGCTTTTATTTTTTGATCTGCTTTAATTTAAATAGTTTAAAACAAGTTGCATTAATCGGATGACCAATTTTCGCGCCTCGGAAAGACAATTTTTCAGTATGTGATCAGATTTTTGCAGCGTTATTTTTCATATCCAGCTAGTATGACTCGTAAACTTTGTATTTGCGTGAGGCCTTGCGTATCATTCAAGCTGCAGGAAACAATCATGAAATTTGCCATATGTACTTAATTTTAAATTTATTTTCTGTGCAGCTTAAGTCCTTGCAAACTAAAATCTGCTACTTCAACCGACTACCCAAATGGCAAAAGTTTAAAGACGGATGTGTATTTCAATTTAATTAAGATGCTCAAACTAACTTTTAATGACTTGGTAAATACCAAATGCCGGAAAAAATCATATTTTGGTCCCTGCGCTGTTTAACGGCAAACATAGTATGCATGACTGATGATTTATGCCTGAAATATTTAATTTCTACATCTTCGGGGAAAATTCACTCAGTTTATAAGTAGCTGAAGCGGGAAAATTTTATTCACTCAATGTTTGAATTAAATCTTTGAGTCGCTTTTGGAACTTTCCATTAGATTTAAGGCTGATTTGTGTGTTTAGAAAATTAACGTCTTAATGTAGTGTATAAAAACGGAGACAACTTCACACATGCTTATTTATTTGTAGTCGTTATATCGTAAAATAATTTTTGAACTGAAAATAACTAAAGAAAAACTTCCAAATAACTGACGAAAAACTTTAAGAACTGGTTAAGGCTAGCGAATGGGCGCATAAAATATAAATTGAAAGCCAACAACTTTTTTCTTGAAAGTCTTTAATATATGTGTGGTTAAATGCATCTGATTTTTGTATGTTTTATTAATAATTTAAATAAAATATGATATGTCCATTAGATGTCTTATTTTACTTAGTACATCCATCGGATACCGTATTTTGTACCTCTGATAAATGTAGGATTCTGTGACATTTGCATAAGCAAATGCACGTCAATTGGACATCAATTGAACAAATTCTGAACATCCATTGGACATGCAGATTCCCGAAAACCGTTGTCGTATGGACGTCCAATGGATTGAATAATGTTATCTGGGTCCATTACTATACGATTTCAATAACGTGTACCATATTTATATTTAAGTCGACGTACAAATAACTAAATAAAAAATTACAAGGACCGATTAAAAATTATACTCTTGAACAGTTTTTGAGCATTTGTGAAATTCTAGATTTGGCGGACTTGTGGGGTTTTGCTAGGCACCTCCTCGTGTGAGCAATGGCAACCGAATTGAAAGAGTCAAATATATGTGTAGGGATTTAATATGTATTAATTTTATTTACGACTAGACTTGTAAATTCATCTAAAAAAAGTTTATTTAGTCCAAGAGACTAGAGTATACAAGGTGAGAAGACGATGGCCGAACTTACAGTGACGGTTAAACAACCATTAGAAAAATCTTACATAAGCTAGTTACAAATCCTAAATTTTATTGTGTTTAATTGGTTTTATTGTGTAAACATTTTTATATATTTTTATATAAACATGTTTTCAACATAAAACAATAAATGAGAATAACAAATTTGTCCAACTGTATTAAAAAAATCTTCTAAAAAAATTAAATATTGCTTGCGTAAGATCACGTATAATTGATTATTTTGAATAAGTATGATCCAGTAATGCTTTGCAATGGAAATATTCCTCATACAGTACTAATATTAGTAAAAAAAGATAATTCTCATTTCCCTGAGTTTCTAAAGTTGCAATTCACCTAAGTATAACCGATTACAATTATTACTAATTGGAATAACTGATGTTGATACTCATGCAGTAAGGACGCTTTACTGACCGTCTCATACAGTTTAACAGGTAACATACATAAATTTTCACGATAAATAAATGGAGTAGAAAAGTGTCGGATCTAACAGGCTAAAACTAACGGAATGTTAAAAAGCCAGAATTTACAGATTTTTTCTTCCAGAAACATATGCCGCCTCAGTACGTCAGCGTAGGCCATAATCAGTTGTCGGCTTGAGTACAATGAACGCTGATTCAAGCACTTTACCAAATATCTCCGGGATAATCATTTCTGACTGATGACTGAATTGATTTAAGCTATTCTCCATTCCCATCGCTGCAGATTCCTGTGAAATAATTTCATCCGACTAATTGACGTCTAGAAGAAATAGAACAAAATTAAATTTGAAACCAACTTTAGACGCTCTATCACAAATAAATGTTGTCAGTTTTATGTTTAGCTACTTGAAAACTCGATAAATGGTTAGGTCAACAATTTAGTGTGACATTAATAAACAAAAGCAGTAATAATTTAGTGAAAATCAAAGGACAAACTGATTATATTAACCGACACATAACATTGAATATATTTTAATTTATTCAGACTCTTTACTTTTGATGGTCTCTACTACTTTGAATGATATTTACTAGATAATAATCCAATATCGAGCTTTAGCTATATGGATACTATAGGTACTACAATGTTGGCCAGACAATAAAAGCTCCTGATCAAGAGGATTACTTGCTAAAACACAATGCCATAGCAATTTTATTCGAACGGAAACATGAATGCAAGATTTCGAGAAAAAAGCTGATAAGTGAAACCGTGCTCAAAACTTTTGCACGTTGCAAGCAGATATCACTAAGGTAAATCTTCAAGTTTCTAATGCATATAATCGTTATAGAAAAGTCCACATTAGTAACAATTTGGTTAATAAAATTGTGACGCATTTAAAGAAAATGTAAGTATTACTCCGTTAAAGACATTATATTTGAAAGTATGATTCCTAGTAATTTCAGTATAATATTGTATCGGTTGAAAAAAATTATTTTATTAGATCTGTTACAGATCAAATAATTGTAGGAAATATGTTAAACGTCATATTTATTTTCATAATGCAAAAAAGAAAGAGGCAATAGTAGATTAGCGAATATCTCGTGCTCTATTACAAAATAGTATTGTAATGCCAATCGGGTAAATTTATACGTTTAACATATAAATGACAAGAAAAGCCAGAATACATATAATATGCCGTATATGAAATATTTCCATAGGGTTGCTTTCATTTCAGATACCTGTGAAATGGAGGAAAGTCATCCCTGCTTTGCATTTCCCCGGACTTATTATCCCTTTACCTTTTTCAAGTACTTCCATATGATGTCATTTTTTACGCGCGGCTTAGGCCTAACTTTAATATACTTTTCCACGGCAGCTCACAAAAGCGCCTTGTGACTCTCTTAGGCCATTTTATTTTCGAAGGAATGTAGAAAACTCCACTTCCAAACATGATGCAGAGAAGAAAGAGATAAAAATCCGTAAGGCGAAACAGAATTTTATATATTTGAAGTACATGAAACTTTTGAACTTAAGCAGCGATTTCTTCGACAAATAAATATTGTTTGTTTCCAGTTCATTAAATTCCAATCGCCCATTAAAATTTGAGTACAAATTTGTAATGGTGGATGAACTGCCGTGCCATGAACGTATCGAAAACTGGATTTCACTTGTAAAACGTTATATTGTATCACATTTTAAAATATCTTCTAACATTTGATGAAGATCATAAACATTTCTTTTAATACATAGCATTTGGTGCAACTTTTGGTATTTTATAAAAACATAATTTTATGAATATTTGTTCGATTCTGATCTGGCATTATCATTTTTATATTTATCAAAATTCATCAATCAGATTGGCTTTAGCAGATATTTGAAATGCCATGTTTGTTTATGACTCAATTGAAATCACACAAGCATTTCATGCATATTCGCATCTGAATTAAAAAACGCTTGTTTTTGATTCAATTTTACATTATCGCACAAACTTATTATGGGGCCTACCATTGTCCTAAAGCTTATCTAACAAATAACTATATATTTTCTTTTGAAGTAGGTATTATAGTATCACGTTTTGTGCGTTTTGCTGCTTACTAATATCTGGTAATTTGGAAACCGATTAAGTTAAACTGAAAAATTTTACAGTCGGAATTTTTAGATCACACACAAAACCAAACTGGGCACTTTTGAATTTGGCTTAATAGTTGTTTAGAAAACTACCTCATTTAATTATAATTAATTTTCTTTCATCATTCAAACATTTGTTTGATAATATAGATGTCAAAAGCGATCTCATTAAATTCTTGGTACCTCTTTTCGATTCGACTTAAGTTTTTTCACTTCTTTCATTTTACATTGAAACATACTCTAAAAAAATTTTTTTTTATATATACATATATGATTTGAAATATCTTCAAAAATGGAAAGGAGCGAAAATCCGAAATCAAGCATTCTTTCTAAAATATTCCGGGTTGATAAATTATTTTGATGAGCACGTCATGAAATTTTCGGTATAATCCAAAATTGCAATAAAAACCGGAAAAAATGTTTTCACCTTGAGGGTTGGATCGCAATTTTGGAACACTCTGTATTTTTTTCAAAAGATGCACACTTGACGTTATTAAATTTGGGTCCCAGACTTCTCCAGAGAGAAAATGTGCTGAATTTCAATGAAATTTATTGTTTTAGTTGTAGGGACACTGCATAAAGAATTTACTGAATATGTCTAGAAAAATCCACCTTTTCAATTCTTTAATCCGTTATCATTGTCCGCCTTGGTAATGCTGTAATCAAAAGTAACTAAAGGTAGTAGACCCCAGAAATTCAATTTATAATTGAAATATTGGTATGCAAGCTACAAAAATCGGACAATATGAAGAGAATAGGAAACTGGTAAAGACACACACGTATACGTTCAATGGCTTGACATCTTTAATGGAATATCATTTACAATTTAATTAAAATTTCTGTTAGAACACCCAAGTGATGCAGTCAATTAGTAGTAGTACAATATTTAGCCTTTGTGTTAACAAAAGATACAATTGATTAAAATACATCTACTTTCGATTTCAATCATATGAAGTTATGCACCATCGCCAGTATTGGCATATTCCCAGAATCTGTTGTAATTATTATTATTCAAATTTCGACTGCTCGCAGCATCACCTGAATAGGCCCTGCCGCTAGTAGCGGCAGCATATGGGGCCGTGGTGTCAATAACGTCATCAATGGTAGTTGTCCTTATAACTAATTGCCCATTTGGTGAAGTTCCGACTACGTAGTCACTTGATGAAGACACACCATTGTCCCAAGAGCGAGCTAGGTGCACTTCTTTAGAAGTGGCAAATGAAGTATCACCAGTAATGGTACTATCCACAACTAGGTAGCCGTAGGAGATACTAGGATCGGTGTCTGGAGCAAACACTACTGCTTCTGTTGAACGTCCCGAAAGAGCATGGAAGGTGCATCCTTCAAATATGGTAGAGCCTGATCCAAAAACAAAATCGACATCACCGGCAATGTAGGTGTCTGTAACGTGGCTTCTTTGCACTGTGGAACCTCCGTTTCCGGAAAAGAACGTATCTTGATGCCCCAATAGGCGACAGTTATCGATTTGAATTTTATCGGCATTTGTTTGTAAGGCTACAGCCTGATCAGTTCCAGAGTTTTTGGAAGAGTTTTCTATAGTCAAATTTACGATTTGCACCGCAGCTGCTTTAACCCAGAATACAGAAGAGCACGTGGTTCCAATAGCACTTTTACTTGCACAGCCGCTGTACATGCTATAAGCTGGATCACCAGACGAAAATAGACTACCAACTGCAGTTTTATATGCTGAACCTGTTAAGGTGGCCGATACGCTAAGTGATATTACGGTACTTGAAGCGCTACTGCCACCACCATATAATGTCAATGGTACGTCTGTACTGGGAATGTAGACTACCTCACTATAGGTGCCAGCGGGGATTTTTATGTACTTTCTGGTTGTGCCTCCAGCATTGATAGCGGCATTTACGGCTGCCTGGATGGTACTGTATCCGCTCCCAACCGTGTAGTCAGCAGTACTGGTGCTGATAGTACTGGGGCTCCATCCCTGAAGATAATTAGATTTGGCATAGCTGGATGCTTCTGTCGATGTAAGAATTGGTCGAGTAGATGTGCCAGGCGCAGTCTGATCAGCTGATGCAATTGCAGCGGCCAAAAGGAGAAGTCCTACAAATTGATAAGTTTCTATGTGTCAACTAGTACACAAAAGCGACTCAAGACGGCTGATTTAGTTCAAATTATGAGAGTAACTTAAACCACGTAAGAGGATTAATAACAGGATAATAATTTATTATTGCAAATCAAATGAAACTGCACTTTAGAAATAGTGAGAGTGGTTGCGGAATATTATATTTTACCTAATATTTTGAATTTTCCATAAAAAGTTTGAAGTATATTTGCAACTTTACGGACTGCATTACAGTTAATTAGGAGCAAGATGGAGCAGGGCAAGATTGCAATGCAATTGGATTTGAAGCTCCATCCGTACAAAGTCCAACTGATTCAATAACTTAAGCCTCAAGACCATGGGCAACGCGGAACATACGCAAATTGGGTGATTGAACAACAAGCCGTTGATGATGATTTTTCGAACGGAATTTTCTTCAGCGATTAGGTTAATTTTTCGCTCGGTGGTTACGTGAATAAACAGAACAGCCGTATATGGGACTCTCAAAATCATCAGGTGATCGCAGAACGGCCTTTGCATCCTGAAAAAGTGACCGTGTGGTGCGCATTATGGTCCGGTGGTGTTATTGGACCGCATTTTTTTGAAAACGATCAAGGAAGAGCCATAACAATCAATTCTGAGCGCTATGGACGCATGTTATCCGATTATTTTTGGAGAGAAATTGAAGATTATGAGTCAGAGCCCTATTGCAAGAGAAATTTCCAGGACGCGTAATTTCGAGATTGAGTGATGTCAATTGGCCCGCAAGATCCTGCGACTTAACACCGTTAGATTTCTTTTTGTGGGGCTATGCGAAAGATCGTGTATACGCCAACAATCCTCAAACTCTAGAGCAACTGAAAGCCAATATCTCTGAAGTTATGACCGAGATTATACCGGTGATATGCGGAAAAGTCATTCAAAATTACTTCAAAAGGATTGAGGCCTGTAGGAGGTCCCGCGGAGGGCATTCAAATGGTATTGTTTTTCAAGTATAATGGCAAGGTTTAATCTTTATATTTTCGTGTTCATCTGAATATTTTGTGTGTTTTTTTTACTTTGCTTTCCCAGGCATAAAATGGATAACCGTATATAATATACTGCGCGGCATATAAAATCAATTGTGAAATAAACCGGTTTTCTAGTTCAATAAATCAATATATGACAGTCAAAGTAGTTCTCTAAACAAAAACTTACTTACCTACTATCTTCATTGTATCAAGACAAGAGTGAAACTCGTACTGGTTTCACGGCAAGACTGCCGTTATATACATATGGAACAAGTGTTTGTTATCAGTTGTATCACCAAATTAATCAATATCAATTTATACCTTTCTACATTTGAATATCAGAGAAAAATGTAGATGACTTGCCATGTGGAATTTTTTGCAGCAAATTTAATTGCATATTGTCAAGTTAATATTACCATACTATTTAGTTGCTGCAATTATTTTTCCATAACAGTTACATGCTGCAATAAAATAAAATGTCGCCTTAGAGCTTCAATTGTATTTGCGTTGTTGTATTGTAAGAGGGTATCAAATATAATATAAATAAATCACTGAGGAAAATGAATGGGCACAAAATAAAATCAAATACTACTAATAAACTCATAAAATTTAAAATATTAAAGACAATGACCAGGAATAAATATCTACGAGTAAATGCTCCTATTATTCGTTGTATTCATTTGGGTATTCTTTGCCTGTTGAAATTTTGAATTTGGATATTAACTAAACATTGGAAATCTCGGAAAATTCATTGTTGGAAAGTAAATTCGGATACTAAATTTTAAAGCTAAACAGTTCTGAAAACTAAGATGCAGATGTGGGGCGAAGAGTCACAGGTTGTCCTGACTTGGGCCCCATTCAAGAAAGAAATGTGAACTATGTGTCACTGAATAGCACAGGGCATAACAATATTTTATGTATAGTCACACAGCTAAAAAATGGACGAATTTTTAGTCTTATGTTATGTATTCGACAGGCGGATTAATTCCTTACTGAATCCAAAATAATCGTCATAGAAGGCAAATGAGTACATACGGCCAACATGAAGTGTAAACAACTTTAAAAATCCTGATAGTTGATTCCTACATGTTTCCAAATCATATAGTATACACACGAATACTATATACGTGTGTATTTGTAAAATTATTATAACGAATTGCATTTGAATTCGTTTTATTTTAATTTTTCAAAAATTTTCCACATTAACTCTCTAAAATTCTCAATCATTCTATGTTCGATATTAAAATTCTTTCTGATAAGCTTATCAAACATTATAATAATTTTGTCAAAGTCAGACAAAAACAATGAGGTGGTTCGATGCCAATTTTGTTCACATTTTTTTAGGAATTGCCCTTCCGTTTCATAGAAGACTGAATTTGACACAGTTTTAAACATTATTAGTTGTACATAAATTAAATTTATTTGAAAATATACTCTTGGTATAGTAAAAAACTTGTTTAAGAGTACAAAGTTGTGTTTTAAATATTCATGTATAACGAACATTTGATACATACCATGAGCAAATAAAAACGACAACTGTATACTAATACCTTAAATTAAGGCAAATATATTGGCAAATATATTGCTAAATAGTGAAATTGGTTTTAATAAATACTTAGAATTTGTATCAATAGTTATTTTTCTAGATTTGGAAGCAGATATACCTATGTTAAAACGGATAAACATGCTACATTACATAGAAAGACATTAAAAATTCTAGAAAATTACCATTATTTTAATTAAACTTTTGCAAATCTATATTGATGCCATAATAGCATTTTAACTTCGAGAACAATCCGTAAACTTTCGCAAAACAGCGCACATAAACCAAGGGGATTCAATTTGACCCCAAAATTTTTTTCTCAGCCATCAATATCAGAATCAGCATATTTGAAGGTCTTGTTAATTAGGCAATCTAATCAAATAGCAGTCGAATACATGTTTGCAATAAACAATTTAAAGGACCCTACTTAACTTCTTACTTTGTTTTCAATAGTTTCAAATAAAACAATCGAAAAGTTGAAAAGCCCCACTTTAGTAATTACAATGTATTTGACCCGTACTAATAAAGCTATGGATTTGCAACAATTCTAAATTTACTTTCAACTTCTCGTCCAGCGCAGTATCATTGCAAAGTGCAATCATTATTTGCTAATCATTAGAGATTAAAACGTTCTTGCAAGTTCAATATTATAGATTCTGCATCGAAGTTCGTAAATTCGTAAGCATTTTGTGGAACTGATTTCAGACCTGCGAATATAGATCAATATGAAGTATGGTACAGTTTCACATAGTTTCAATTCCCATTTGCAGGTACGGAAGTGATCTATAATGAGATTAATTAAGAAATGAGTTACGGAAAATTTCTCTCGTGCGCTTCCAATTTTCAATATTTCATCAGACT